GGCCGTTGTGGCCCAGTGGTAAAGATCGCGACTTTGAATCGTCAGGTCGAGGGTTCGAGGCCATCCACTGTCTGAGGTTATAAAGGCATTCACTTGGGGTAACGGTCGCACTTACCAAAGCCAAAGTCCTTCGCAAAAAGGCACCCACCTAGCCCCTCAATAGAAAACGGAGTCCGTGATATAAAATCGATCACAATCACACACACACGTAATTGTAGAGACTTCCCACAATAAAACACAGGCATTCTTCGTGTATTATAGCCTAATTAGAAATCAACATATGTGGTGTGATTCTGGTCATGTTTTGCAGTTATCAATATGCAAGTGTAAATGACAGTAAGTGTTGTGTTTATATAAAGATAAAAAGTGTTTGTGTGTACAATATATATTTTCTAGCCTACGATATTATCCATTAGTTATATAATATTCTTTTCATATTGTCAGATATTCTGTCTAAGATGTTGTAGTTAAGGTTATTTTCTGTTCTGTCTCTTCTTAGTTACTTGATGCCGGAGAATGCGTATCTCCGAAACCAATTGTATATTAAAAAAGAGGAAAAGTACACTATACATAACGTGTTTCCAATCATAATAGTTGCAGACATCTGCTTTCCAAGGAAAATATCTGTTGCAGTATATATGTGTGTGTGTGTGTGTGTGTGTCTGTCTGTGTTTATATGTATCTATAAATAATATTTGAAAACGAATGAATTCCCATTTGATTATCAGAATTAATACTGCCAGCACGCTTTCAGAATACCATATCTCCTGTTTACGATCAGGCCTACTTATCAAAGAGAGCAAATACACAGCATCCAGTATATTAGGCCTACCTCTTGCATAGGTACCTCACTAGGCCTATTGCTCAATTCTTTGGTGTATAGGCTCAAAGTGTACTGTTATGAACCAAAGGCTTTTACCGATCATCAGTTTGCACTCTTACTACCTATACGTCAAATTTCTCTCTCTCTCTCTCTCATGATAATAACAATAAAAACAACAATAATAAAAACAATAATTATGATAATAAAAATAATAATAATAATAATAATAATAATTATAACATCTGAGACAGTTTTAGTTTCTGGAAAACGTACTTTGAAAAGGAATTGTAGAACGATCACCAGCCAGTACATTTTCAAACTTTTATTCCAATTGTCTTCTACGCCATCTTGCAACGTTTCAAACTTGCACTGAGTTCATATTCATGCCTACACCTACAAAAACAGAACAAAACAGCAAAATTCAATATATGTACAAAGAAAAAACAACAATTTCAAATGAAAAAATTACATGTATATACATACATATAAGCACATAAGAATCAAATTAAAACTACAAAATTTTTTTAAAAATTAATGCAATGGACCACATTAGAATATTTTTAAAGGATAGCTTGAGCAATCTAAATTTAATTCGGTGTTCTCCCTTTTAATTAAAAGTGATTCTGCAATTCTAATTTCAGTCTCATCTTTTCCTTTGTAAGCTATTTTAAAATCACTTATTGAAAAATCACACATTTTTCGTGGCAATGTTCCCTAATGCTTGATGACAGAGGTCTTGTCAGGTGTCTGTTTCTTCTGAAACTCAGCCCTTTATGTTCATGGTATCTTATTTTTTTTTTCAGGATGGGATGGGATAGGAGGGGAAAAAAGGGGAGGGAATTAAGGATATAAGGGAATTGGAGGGAAAAGCACGAAAATTAAATAAAGTAAGATAAAGAAAGAGAGGGGCAGACCCTCGTGCTATGTTTTGATCTGGAATTCAGATACTTTAATTGTTCCGGTATCTTATTGTTAATGACTTCTTAGTAGAGCCATAATAGGCCAATTGGCAAATTGGATACTTAAAAATATATACAACCAATGAACAGAAGGGTTGAGGTAGTTGTTCTTTATGATTTAAAAAAGTTTTAAGTTTAAAGTTATTATAAAATGCTAAATTAGGGGTAATTTGTGGATAATATCTATTAAATGAATATGTGATTTCATTTTTAAGAAAGGAGTTCGTAATGTTATCCATGAATGGGAATTTGAAAAATGATTTGTGTTTCTGTGGTCCATATGTCATGGGTTTTGGAGAAAACGTCTTGTTTAAGAAAGTTCTTAATGATTTGTTTATCATATTGGGAGTAAAACCATTTTGTACAAATAATTTATTCAGAAAGGACACTTCGTCATCAAATTTAATGTAGGTGGATGTTAGACAAAATGCCCTAGTAAAGAGTGTGCACACTTTGTTCTTTTTGTATAGTTCATAGCACTCACTTAAAAGATTTATTCCCATGCCCGTGAAACATAATTTGTGATAAATACTAATTTCAAATTTATTTTTGTTTTTCTTTAGCAATAGATCTAAAAATGGGATTTGATTATTATTTTTTCTTTTTATTAATTGTTGTTATTTCTTTGTACATATATTGAGTTTTGCTGTTTTGTTCAGTTTTTGTAGGTGTAGGCATGAATATGAACTCAGTGCAAGTTTGAAACGTTGCAATATGGTGTAGAAGACAATTGAAATAAAAATTTGAAAATGTACTGGCTGGTGATCGTTCTACAATTCCTTAATAATAATAATAATAATAATAATAATAATAATAATAATAATAATAATAATAATAATAATAATAATAATAATAATAATAATAATAATAACAATAGTAATTATTATTATCATTATTATTATTATTATTATTATTATTATTATTATTATTATTATTATTATTATTATTATTATTGCAATGGAAGGGTATTGATGAAAATGAAGCACAGAACAGAAATAAATGGAGACGACTCATTCACAACGGCGACCCCATATAAAACTGGGTTAAAACTGAGAAGAAGAAGATTATTATTATTATTATTATTATTAGTAGTAGTAGTAGTTTATCATCACTTGTATATCACTTCTTTATCTCTCTCTCTCTCTTTCTCTACAGAAATGTGTTCCGGAATTCGTAAACGCAGCTTTTAATCGTCCAGTGGAAGCCACGAATACGTGCGGGGAACAGAGACCTCAGGAGTATTGCTTGCAGACGGGGGGTTACGGTTCCAAGAAAGCCTGCGAAATCTGCAATGCCTACCTTCCCGAATCGTCTCATCCGTCATATTTTTTAACGGATTTAAATAACAATGAAAATTACACTTGGTGGCAGTCAGAAACCATGTACGAAGGCATCCAGTATCCCAATCAGGTCAATTTGACTCTCAGTTTGGGTAAGTGATGATGATGATAATTATTATTATTATTATTATTATTATTATTATTATTATTATTGTTATTATTATTGTTGTTGTTGTTGTTGTTGTCGTTTTTATTATTATTATTATTATTATTATTATTATTATTATTATTATTATTATTATTATTATATCCCCCTGAGGGAGGGGGGCTAGAATACTTCTTTCATGTTCCCCTGCGTATTGTAAGAGTCTACTAAATGGGGCGGAGCGAGTGGACTGGGAATCCCCTCCTCTATATTTTCTCTTCCCAAAGAGTCAGAGTATTTTTTTTTACTTAGCCACTCCCCTAATAAGGGGAAAATGGCTTATATATATATATATATATATATATATATATATATATATATATATATATATATATATATATATATATATATATATATATATATTTAATTTTTTTTATATACCTTTTCTGTTGCCCTAAATTTGGGGGGTAGCCGACATAAAAAAAAAAGAGAGACAATAAGGGGATTACTTTGCTCTTATGGGCAGTGACGAGGGAGCTAGTGACCTTTCAGATGGCACTGCTAGAGTGCCACAGCCCATCCTCCCGGCTCTTCTATAACCTGTGTCGCTTCATAATGCCAACTCCACTACTGCCCCTACCACAAGGCTACCTCTGTAAGATGCAGCCCCATGGCAACAGCAGATGCACATCAGAGCTGCGTCACAATCGCTCGCCACTCATTCCTATTCCTAGCATGCTCACTTGCTTCCATCACATCCATCCCCCTATCATTCAGGGCTCTCCTTACTCCATCCATCCACCCAAACCTAGGCATACCTTTAGCATTTCTCTCATCAATTCTTGCATTCATCACCTTTTCAGCAGTCTTTCATCATCCATCCTCTCCACATGGCCAAACCATCTCAGAACATTCATATCTACTCTGGCCGCCAATTCTCTCCTCACACCCGTTCTTGCTCTCACCACTTTATTCCTAACCCTATTCAACCGAGATACACCAATCATACTCCTCAGGCATTTCATCTCAAACACATTTAGTTTCCGTCTCTCACTTACTTTCATACCCCATAACTCTGATCCATACATCACAGCTGGCACAACCACTTTCTCATACTAAACTTTCTTAATATTCATTTCCAACCCTCTATTCTTCATCACTCGTTTCAACGCACCCAACACTTTACATCCTTCATTCACTCTGTGACACACATCTGCTTCTACTCCACCATTTGCAGCTATAACCGAGCCTTTAATACTTAAACTGATCAACTTCCTCAAGTGTCTCTCCATTCAACATAACATTCAATCCAGCACCATCCTCATTTCTTGTACACTTCATAACCTTACTCTTTCCCACATTCACTCGCAACTTCCTTCTCTCACACACCATTCCAAATTCTGACACTAACTGACACAGCTTCTCTGAATCTGCCAACACCACAGTATCATCTGCAAACAGCAACTGATTCAGCTCCCACTCATTATCATCCCCATCTACCATTCTCGAACCTCGACGACGCACTCCATCAATATACAAATTGAACAGCCATGGTGACTTCACACATCCCTGTCTCAGTCCCACACTCACTGGAAACCACTCACTCACTTCATCCCCTACCCTAACTCAAGCTCTACTGACCTCATACAAACTCTTCACTGCTTTAACAGTCTACCATTTAATTCCATAGTACCTCAAAACATTCCACATTGCCTCTCTATCAACTCTCTCATGTGCTTTCTCCAGATCCAAAAATGCAAAATGCACATCCTTACCCTTTGCTAAATATTTCCACATAACTGCTTAATTATAAAAATCTGATCTATACAACCTCTACCTCTCCTAAAACCACTCTGTAATTCCGTG